ATATTATAATTACGTACTTGCTAAAATAAATGAAAAACTAGTCGAAATCATGCCTCGGTTTCAAGAAAAGTCGCACTTGTGCATTGCATGACTTGCTTGCTTGCATAGACAACATCTTGACTGTGAATTGATCTCTCAACCATAAGGAACACCATCGATGATGAAATTTCTTCAAATATTCCAACCATGGGTAGGGGTGGCAGTTCGGTTATTTCAGTTATAACCGGTAACTAATCGGTCGGTTATCGGTTAACCGAAATAACCACTCCCACTCCCTCTACTGAAAACCGCCCAAAATAGGCTTCGGTTTCTCGGTTATCTCGGTTATCGGTTAACCAAACCACTTTTAAGACCAAAAACCATTATGTCCAGCCTATGATAACCGACCGAAGTTCGGTTACTTTGGTTATCGGTTAGTGGATAACCAGCCGGTTATCGATTTAACCATCCGGTTAACCGATAACCGGTAACCGAACTGCCATAACTAACCACGGGTGGTCGTCCGCAATGCCGCTATTAGGGAAACATTCAACAACTATGACTCTCCATGCCATGTCGAACTCTACCTCACTGTCCACGTCGTAGAAAATAAAAGAAAGATGATTTTGGAACTTCTTCCAAAATATCTTGTCCTTATGAAGATGCTTCTTGGCATTCATTAGATTGGGCCAAGTACAGAGCGCATGAAACACGGTAGGTCACTCCTTTCTAAGTGCAGCTGCTATTGGTTCGGAAGGTCGTATCAAAGGAGACTGAGTCTCCAAAAAGCGCATAATCTTCAAGCATACTAGTGTTCGCCCAAAAGATATTAGCAACTTTATCCTCGCAATCTACCTTTACAGCATAAAAGAAGTCGGGATGCTTGTACTTTTGGTCCTCAAAGTAGTCAAGCAGATAAGTCGCTTCACCACGAGCCATTTTCTGTTGTCGTTTACTGTTCAAGTGGTTTTTCTGATCGGATTTGGTAAAAGTCAGATTTTGATACCCACCGGCACAATTAGCAGTAGCTAATACGATGCACTAGGACTCATCACGACATCACGATTAGATTCGACCATCTTTATCTAAGCACCACTCATGCACTTATTGGACTTGTGCAGGTGCATATGCTCGGTAGAGTGCAAATCATGGTTGTGGGCTCCTATGAATTCATACACCGCAAATCCTTCCCTAGTAGCATCCCTTCGAAAAAAAACATGGGCGCTACATCAACCCTAACTCGAGGCCTTTTTCTTTTAGGGAGCCTTCTCTCCACAACCTTGTCTTCCGACTGGTCTCTGTTTGTCCACATTTACATCACTAGTGGAAGTCCAGCCTTCCTTATTACAAAAAGTAATAAAGGTATAAATAATTTTTCTCCACCACTCCTTTAGAATTCTTCATTTTTCTTAGGTGTTCCTCATCTACTCGAACACCAAACCCTTTATTGTGTGCATAGCGTTTATAGAAAGCCGAACACTCTTCCTTAGTGCGATAAAAGATGTTCTTCCTCACTTCCTCGTCTTCTAGCATTGAAGTATTGTAATCTGCGAGAAATTTGGTTGACATGTTGGTACGCACATACATTTCTATTAAAATTTGTGTCCAAACTGCCCAGACTAGTACCCAATTTACGTCTAAATCAAACCCCACAACAAACATACAGTAGGCTAACTAATGTCAATTAATCTAATATCAGTATCCGTTTTCTCCAAAAAAGTATCAACACTACTAGGATCTGTATCCAAAGGTCTAATATCCACACTATTAGTAATCCTATAAAAAAACCTCAGAATAGTATCGCCACTATATACACACCAAAGGGAAAACAAGTTAGAGGGTTACAGAATGTCCAACAAACAGTAGGTAAATCGTATCCAATTCGCTCATAACAGAACCACAGGACGCCCAAAAAATATTTAACTCACAATGACATCATTAAATGTCATTCAATGCTCCCAACCAAAACTCAACAACACATATATCACAGTTTGGTTCTATCGTACACTAGGCAAAACCTGGTGTATGTCGTGCACCAGACAATCTCCACCGTCCGCATTCATCTCAACGGCCAGTATAAACAAGGTAATTTATTTTGTTATCCCACAAAAAAAGAACCTGCATTAATGCTGGCCGTTGAGATGGACGTGGACGGTGGAGATTGCTGGTGTACGACATACCCCAATTTATGTCTGGTGTACAATAGACTTCACCATATATATGGTAATAATTGGTTTACTCCAGGAGTATGCCATACTCCATGTAACATGACTGTTAGATCTTCTTTTCTGAGCTCCAACCAATCCCAACGGTTAATTAATATTTTCTATTAAATTGAACTTCGGGTTTGGGTTTATCCATTAGGGTTTAGAGTATAGTATCATACCCCAAACTCGATTTAATTCATAGTTAGATATAGATATCTCACTAGGAGTATACTATACTCCAGGAGTACAGCAGGATAGGGTACATATATGTATATATAGTGAGTTCTACGGTACCCAGTGTGAAATCTCGGGTACCACATATCTTGAGTATGAAAACGCTATCTAGAACTTGAATTGACCGATCTTTCGAACATGATACTATACTCTAACTCTTAAAGATCAAAATCTATGATCTTAATTCTCTAAATCTCATACCCAAGATCAATTTAATTAGAAAAATAATCGACGGTTATGACTCGTCCAAATATAGGCAAAAAAATGAATGCACCATCTTAGGGTTTATAGTTTATGATTAGGATAATTAGGACCTACGGTTCACTCATTAACGATTGGAGTATAGTATCAAGCCCAAAAATTCGGATAATTCGAGGTCTAGATAGCGTTTTCATACTCAAGGAATGCAGTACCCCGGATATATATATAATCCACCACCATTACCTTCTTCTTATTCTAAAACTCCATCGAATCCAGCCATGCCAACACCATCTAATATATCATCAACAAAATCGTCTTGTTCATGAGACGAGCTCGTTTGTTGAGGATTTATCTTTGCACGACAGCAGATGAAGAGGAAGGAGGGAGATGCTCATCGTCGGCGTCTTTTTCGTCGCAAGAGAAGAGAGAAACCAGAGGAAAAAATAGAGAAGGAGGATGTGAGAGAAAGAAGTGGTTGGGCACAAAATTACCCTCCCCTTCTTCTTTTTGGATACAGTTTCGACCTCTCCCACTCTCTTCAAAATCCCGCCCAAACACAAGCAAACCCATTAGCCACCTTCAGCCTCCTCTTTAACTTCGTTGGCTAGGGCGACTCCATGAAGAAAGCCTGAAAATAGCTCACTTAAGTGAGCCACACAAACCCGCAACCCTCCTCCCTTGGATCGCATCTAGGTCGACGTGAGCATCATCTGGACCGTGTTAGTATATGTTAGAAACCGAACATGAAAAATTAGGGTTACCGATCTGGCTGAGTCACGGACTAGGTCGCTTTCTTTAAGATGTTCGCGACACTGCGTCGTATTGCGCACAACAGACTATCAGTCAGTCGTCTCCAGGTTAAAATAGCCACTCTGATTTGTTGCTCATCGGTTTTGTGCGAAAACCGAAGCTCTATGAACTCACGATCTCTCTTGTGTTTATGCTCCTTCGAGGTGTGTTTAGAGGGGCTAGAGGTCTGCTATTTATAGGAGCAGAAAACCAAGAATATTCCCACTTTTTTGGGAATAAATCACATTAAAATATATTATATTAAGATAATTAATCTTAAGTATCTCTATAATATTCCTTTTATTAATTATCCATATTATTTTCGTATGTGAAAAAATATTGGATAATTAATTAAGAATTTCATTTATATTTTTTCAAAGCTATTCATCCCAACAAACCCCCACTTGAATAGTTTTGAAACTATCTTTGAGTATCAACAGTTCCATAAGATCGGACATAAGCTAAAGTATTGCGAAGATTTGAACCTTAGTGTAGTGGTTACACTTCCGATTTCATAAGGGTGACTCGCAGTCTTGAACCTTATCTTAGACAATGTAGCACACCAAATCTTTTCATTGAGTGGTATTCTCTCATAGGTCGTGCGATTATGGCCCTGCATGTTATCCGGTTTAGTGAACGATCTAGCAACTTTGTGCCTCCAAAGTTCCATAAGAAGAGGCCTCACTCCCACATTCACATAGGTGAGTCTGTCAGAAGTATCCATAGTAATGTACTTCACTCCACATGGAGTATAGATCTCATTAAGAGTTTAACTCGATCTCCAAGGCTTTGGGATTCATGCTTCACTATGCATGAATTTTTCCAATATTTACTCATGACTTGTTATTACCCATTGAACCCGCTTCTTGGGATCTCCAGTCTATCAGGTCGGGTTACCATCACTTGTAATCCATGGTTCGGTAGGCATAAGTCTCATACTCTTCGTGGTATTTTGGACTTTTCTCTCAAGGTAATCCTTTCGTCAAAGGATCAACTAGATTCAATTAGGATCCTACATGATTCACCCTCATTTCTCCTATCGTTAGGAGTTCTCTTACCGTACTGTGCTAACGACGAATTTGCCATCTCTTTTCGTTCTAGAACCGGTTCCCTTTTTTTAGCAATAGCTGCGCATAGCAAACTATCAGTCGGTCGCCTTCCGGATAAAACAGTCACTCTGATTTGTTGCTCATCAATTTTGTGCGAAGACCGAAGCTCTATGAACTCACTCTCTCTCGTGTTTCTGCTCCTTTGAGGTGTGTTTAGAAGGTCTACGAGGTATTATTAATAGGAGGAGAAATCCAAAATATTCCCTCTTTCTTTGAGAATAAGTCACATTTTAATTAGTAATATAATTACTCTCATAATTAAAATGCATTATATTTAGATAATTAATCCTAATTATCTCTATAATATTTATTTTATTAATTATTCATATGATTTTCGTGTATGAAAAAATACTAAATAATTAATTAAAACTTTAATTTATAACTTTTCAAACTATTCTTCCTAATTCTACGAGAATTTGCATTTGTTAGTTAGCTGTTTAACTTTTTCGCATCGAATAAGGAATAACCAATTTACAGAACTCTCTTCTCTCTGCTCTGTTCTTCCTCTTCCTTCTGCTTCTGACCTTCCACTTGTTCTTCTCTTCTCCTACTCTATTCTTTCTTAATCCTTCCCCTTCTCTTTTAAAGTTTAATCCTTCAATTCTCTTCTCAGTTCAAGCAATCCTCAACATCAACTGCCGGAATAGATCCATTCCTCCACCGGGGCATTACACACAGATAGTTTCCGCTTTTCCCACTAAAACTCCCACCGAGAGAATTCGAATAGACGAGTGAAAAACGAGCATATCGCAGTCCTCAATGGAGAACGCTGATGTCTTCTTGGGCTTGCACGACTTCCTTGAACGGATGAAGCAGCCGTCCGCCGCCGATTTCGTTAAATCCATCAAAAGGTCTCTCTCCCTTTACCTCACACTACAATCCTTGTCTACAACCATGGGGAATGCGAACCTTTCCCGCGCTTCCGGCCTTGGTAGTCGCTGATTTACAACATTTATCTTTGATGGTTTCATTATAGCTTCTGAATTCACTTGCTAGTTCGGCGGTTGAGCTTTGTAATGGATAGTTTTCTTTGAATCTGACTTCCAAAATCCACCACATTTCACCCCTTTCTGTGTGTCTTCCAATATGCCAGCTGATGTTGACACAAATTCCTTAGTTTACTTCGGTTGCCACTGATGAGTATAGAAGTCAAGTGTTTAACCATTCACATGACCCTAGATGCACAGCGAAAAAGGAAATGCTGTTGAATCTTTGCATCTTGGGCTGAAGTTCGATGGAATTCAATAAGACAATATTATGTTTGGTTTATCTTTGGGTTTTTAGTGTTTTAACCCGACAGGAAGACTAGGAGGAGGTTCTCTATATGGCGTAGGCTTCCAGTTACTTGGTTCCCTTATTAAGTAGTTAATCAGGGTTATTCGGATATCTTTTGTTAGTGATTAGCTTTTCTTTGTTATTGTTATCATCAGAGTGTTTCTGCAGCTCGATAGATGTTCTTTCATTGCAGATATTCCCCATCTGAACGCTACTTTCATCAGTTCCCGGATGGGTTAACTGTGAAGTGAGTGGCAATCAAGTAATATTCCCTTTGCATCAACTAGTCATGGTGTCAAAAAGGTCAATCCTACGATATGTTTAGGTCATAAAATGTTCTGTAAGCGTAAAGTATTACTTAGATTAGTTTATCAATTCTCATAGTAGCAAAAATTATGTTGCTAGATGGACAATAAAGGAATTCGTCCAGAGGCATGCTTGATGAATGAACCCAAATGGCATTGCAGTAAAACAGGAATGCTTATGCAACCACTGATGCTGTTGTAAACCCGAAAAACAAGGACTTGGATTAGGTCCTACCTTTATTAAAATCAGTGGTGAGCCCAATGTTTGGTTTACTATATGTGATTATTTAGTTGTTACAAGAAATGTGATTGTGCATAGATAAAACATTATACCATAACATGTTAGGAGTTTAACCAAGGAAATGTCGACTAGGAATATTGTATGACATATCCCTGTCATCTATAAATGCTGGAACCTGCTTATTAGCGTGTTTCACATCAATAAGCCAACTGGTTCCCTGTGCATGAATTTGATTTTATTTGATAAAATTACTGTTATCTGACAACATAATAATTTTTGAACGTTTTTTACTTATTAATGATCTCAGCTTCATTGTTTCATTTTCGAACAATGCACCAGATCCTGAAAGGGATAGTGCTCTTGTGCAAGGGTTTTTTGGCCAAATGGAGACTGCTTTCAGGGCTCATCCACTTTGGGCAGGCTGTAAGGAGGAGGAGTTGGAGAGTGCCGGTGAAGTGAGTTTCTGCCTATTATCTTTGCAAGTTATGCTTTTCTAACTAGATAGTGCTCTTGTCTAACGTATTGTGATTTTTTTACCTTTAGTATAACTGTGAAGGGCTAGGATAGCAGCACATCGGTACTTTGTTAAGAGTTGCTGTGTTACATAAATTTTGAGTCTTCCATAGCCCTTCGGATCTGCACTGAACCTGGTAGAATCTTATTAGGTTTTCTTATTTCCTACAACCAATTCTAGAAGTAGAGAACAGAGAACTTTACTAGTTCTTTGGCTGGTTTATTTGAGTTGATTCTCAAGCCCTAGAATAAAGAGCATCAAAAGAGGGAATGTTTCACAAAAAAAAAAAAAAGAAAAAAGAAGAGAAGTCAATGTGCCATGTCAGTAATTTAAATAATCACCCCAGGACTAGGGCACTGAAATTGAATACTGTTGGCTGACAGGTGCTCAGCCTTTTCATTCGATCGAATTTCCAAATTTCACAATCTGCATGTTGTGCAAGCAGGCAACTCTTGTGGAGAATTAATGTAATCCAAATGAACATGCCCGTTTTATAAGCTTGAATATTTGCAGTAACAGATCCTTGTTTGAAACCTGCGGTGGACCTATTCTTAAATGAACTTAGGATCTATACTTAAATTACGTCATATTATTTGCCTTTATTTTTAATGGCTGACAATCCTTAATTCATGAAGGTCTGTTACATCTGATGTTTCTTTCGTATACAGGGTCTCGAGAAGTACGTAATGACAAAGTTATTTACCCGTGTATTTGCTTCACTTCCAGATGATGTAAAAGCTGATGAGCAACTCTCTGAGAAGATGTCTTTGATTCAACACTTTGTTCGTCCTGAAAATTTGGATATTAAGCCCTCGTTCGAGAATGAAACATCTTGGCTGGTATGCTGGTTGGTACTCATAGTTGTATGTATAGTACTACTTTACATTGTCCTGACATCTTGGCTGGTATGCTGGTTGGTTTACTCATAGTTGTATGTATAGTACTACTTTACATTGTCCTGTCATCAATGAACTAGGAGAGCACTTAAATTAAATTCACCATTTAACAAGCTTCTTCATCCACGGGCTATGAAGCTCTGGTATAAGAAGGACGTGCTCTTCTTTTATTTTGCTGGATTTGGTCATTCATAACTTCTGTTTCAAAATGTTTGATGGTGTTAGCAAACAGTTGGCCTTCTTCATACTGAATGAAATCAAGCTGGAAGACAATCTCATTTGTTCTATATATACGTTCTTCAGAATGGACTTGGGGTTCATGAATCTTTTGGCCTGGGAGAATGATCACCCGTGTAGGGTTGAGATATAAGCATTTGTAATTCAAATACAATTACACCGACACACACATAGCGCACCCACATAGAGAACTAAAAATAGTTTTTACTCATTAACCTATACGATCAAATATTCTGCCTCCTTGGTCCTGTCAAAAGGCATTATTTATTAATTATTATCATTTGTTCACTGCCACTGTTATTTGTCAACTGAGTAGACTATTTTCTGTTTCTAATTATGCTTCCAAAGAGGTTAGCGTTTATCACATTCTAGCTAGCTCAGAGTTCATCCATGAATAGGGCCCTTTGCCAGCCAAGCTTTATAGACCGCGTATATAATTCCTTTTCCTCGCAAAGGATATGATATGCGTTGCTGAATTTTGGTCTGTGATGCCAACTACTGTCAAATATCCTTGTATTATACTTCAAAATTCTATCTATCTTGCCTTGTTCTCACCTTAATTTTTCTGGTGATATGGCAGCTTGCGCAGAAAGAACTACAGAAGATCAATATGTGCAAGGCGCCAAGAGATAAGCTTGTGTGCATCCTCAACTGCTGCAAGGTCATAAACCATTTATTGCTTAATGCTTCTATTGCTTCGAATGAGAATCCCCCTGGAGCTGATGAATTCCTTCCGGTTCTTATTTATGTTACAATGAGGGTAAGATTATGACCAAATATGCAAGATTCCGCTGCTAAATGTGGGAATTGCTAAGCTCGTTTATGTTCTACTACTTGAAATTTACTTTGCAACAACATCTTGTCCTGCATGATGACCTGACAATTCATGGCATGTTATAGACCGGTGCTTGTCGGTGCACTTTGAGCAAACATTAATGCAGCTGCATAATAATAACAAGATGTTAAAACATCCTGAATAGTTTTAGATTAGCATTAACCTGGAGTTTCTTGTTATTTAAGACAGTCTTCTTATAATATTCTGGGAGATTCTTCGTTTTCATTTGACCTGGAAACGTGTAATGCAGTCTACTGTAGGTGTTATGCACATATCTCAACATGTTCTATTTTTAGGAATCAGGCTAAGTGACTACCGATTCTAGATCTCCAAGACCTCGAACCCAACCGAAAAGCGTCTTGGCCAGGCCAGAATGCCTAATTTGTTGCTATTGCCTTTAGAAAGGTTTCCGTGAGAGTTCTAATTTTGCCTGAAGAGTAATGCATGAAACTATGCTGTTCTGGGTAGTGTTCCAGCTTTGTATGGCTCTGCTTCTTCTCTTTAGCACCTCAACTGTGTATACTTGTAAGGTCTTGTTTTCCTATATGCGCAGGCAAATCCTCCACAGCTGCACTCAAATTTGTTGTACATACAGCGGTATCGGCGTCAATCCCGGTTGGTGGGGGAAGCAGCATATTTTTTCACAAATATGCTGTCTGCAGAGTCTTTCATCTCTAACATTACCCCAAAATCTATCTCAATGGAAGAAGCCGAGTATGAAAAGAATATGGATCTGGCTCGAGCACTGGTCTCAACAGGTCCTTCAGCTGAAGAGGTTGTCGCACAAGGTGCAGGTAATATTGTCAAACCTGAATCCAGGCATCAGTTTTTAAAGGAGAGGAATTCTTCAGTCCGACCCAGAACTGCAGAGACTAGGTCTAGAACTATGGATGCAGAAAGTTCAAAAGATGTGGTATCATCATTAGATAAGGTTTCGTCAATGTTGGATATACAGAACAGAGGAGCCGCTCTCATTTTGAAGGAGGACAGGGCAAATCACGTTTTTCGAGAGTACCCTTACTTGTATTCCCATGTTGGTGATCTAACAATCAATGACGTGGAAGAGTTGTTGAACTCCTACAAACAGCTGGTTTTCAAGTATGTTTGTGTTTGTAAAGGTCTGGGTAGTGGTGGTGGAGGTGGTGGTGCATCTCTTCTTTCCATCTCCGGTGATCAAGGAAGTGTGCAGAACGATGTGGAACCCATGAAGTATTTTCAAGAGCCTGAAACAGTTGTAGAACAGAGTAATGAGCACGGGAAACAAAATGATAGTTTGATAGCAGAATCAAAGCGTCTGGAAGTGGAAATTGATCCAACGGCGAGAAAAAATTAGGGACACAAGCATGAGAGCCAAGAGGAAAGAGCGGCTCAGGAGTAGAAATTGGCGAAAATCTCGGTGACAGCTCATTGAGAAATCACTTTCTGGGGATGATTTTGAAGTTCTTAACAAACTTCTTCACACAAGGTCGATAAGAACATGCGAGAAAGTTAACTAACGTTCGGGGGGGTGTCCATGCTATTTGTCTCATGTGGCGAGTATAGTTTCAGTATCAGATTGAGATAACATTTTATTGTTAGTACAAGCTTTATGCTATTATTGAATCGCTATTCGTCGCCCTAGTATTTAAATTTTACCGTCCTAAAACCCATTAAATTGACATATTTAACCGTAAACAAAATTTATATTATCCATTAACCAAACAAATGTCGAGAAGGCAGAAGCTAATTTGCTTTAGAGGCGTGTTATTTGTCGCCCGTTTCATTACTATTTGCCGACCGTAAATTAAACTAAAAATACTTTTTTCCCTCCAAAATTTCTTTATATTATATTCTTTGGTTTGGTTTTTTAAACTACCCACACCACCACTTGACCACCAACCCACAATCACCATAGCCAGAGTCACGGCCACCGGATGGCAGCCTAAGTCGCCTGCCACCGGACCACCGTCAGCATAAGTCGTCGGCCACCAGACGGCAGCCGTACCACATCGTAGGACCAGCGAATAAGGAAAACCTCCTGTATTTTGCCTCGTCCGACCGTCGGAGGCGGACCCCGTCAGACCGGCTCAGGCGGACCCAGTCCGACCCGGGCTAGCGGACGGCGTCCGACACCGGCGAGCGGACGGCGCCCTAGACCGGCGAGCGGACAGTGACCAACGCCGGTGGTTTTTTTTTATATTTTTTTTTATTATTTTGATATATATTATGTTATTATTAATTCTAGAGCTAATAATTTAGATTTAAGTTATCGTTTTATTTTTATTTTACACAGTTAATTTCGTATGTAGTTTGAATTAAGCGATTGTGTTTTGTTGTAGCGCTAATTAGTTTATTGTGCTTAGATTTAATTTGTAGAGCTAATTTGGTTTGATAATTTATATTTAATTAATTTTCTTATCGTCAAATTATCGTTCTTTTGTAGATTTAATTAAATTATTGCATTTAGTTTAATTTTGTAGAGTCAATTGAAGCACAATTAGTTTAATTAAGTGATTGTGTTTTGTTGTAGCGCTAATTAATTTATTGTGTTTAGATTTAATTCGTAGAGCTAATTTGGTTTAATAATTTATATTTAATTAAATTTCTTATCGTCAAATTATCGTTATTTTGTAGAGTTAATTAAATTTTTGCATTTAGTTTAATTTTGGAGAATCATATAATTTGTATCTTTCTAACGAGTTGTAAAATCATAATTGCAGGTGGACATGACTTACAATGTTGAACTAAATGGTGATTATACAGACAATTTTCTCAATGGCGTCCAATATGACAATTTCGAAGATGCTTGAACAGTGACCAAAAACATCGCGATGTCTCTTGGTTTCTTTCTAATTAAGGGATCGATGAAGCCACGTGAGTTGCACAACAAAAGAGTATTGGGTATGTGTTATATGTATTGCGACAGATGCAGTAGGGAGAGGAAGTCATACAAGTCGGATCCTTCCAAGGAGAGTCGTGGCAGTACAAGTTCAAAAGGGTCTAATTGCATGTTCAATGTTAAAATCAAAGAACTACTGGTTGATCCAGATGCTCTTAATGGACCTTCATTCTGGGTGATACAAGAAGTGAGGGAGCAAGAAACCGGTTTAATGAGAGGGTATCACAATCATGAGAAGATGCTTTATCCGGAGGGCCACAGTCAAATGAAGAAATTTAGTCAGGAGGATAAAGAATCTCTGAAGCAGATGAGAGATGCTGGGGTACCTCCGTCGCAACGAAAGCAGACAGTAAACATGCAGAAGGGTGACAAAGGGCATCACACCAAAAGGCAAATGTATAACCTCGGGCCCAAGTCTAGGAAAGACGAGATGGGCGAGATGAATGCAGTGCAGTATGCGTTGCAAGCAGCTGAACGTGAGAATTATCATATAGAGGTTATGAAGGACGATAACGACGTGCTTACCCATCTTTTTTTTTGCCCATCCAACTTCCATCCAGATGTTGAAGGCTTGGCCGTACGTGATTCCGATCGACTCAACGTATAAGGTCAATGCGTATAAAATGCCGTGGGTGGAGGTCGTATGTGCTACTCCCATTGGGAAGAATTTCAACATATGTTGTGCTCTCATGAAGGAGTAGACAAAAGAGGCGTATCATTGGTTGTTGAAGTACATGATAATATGAGTATACGAACTGTCATTTACCACAGTCAACATTGTGTACCACTAGTTAGAACGAAGAAATTAAGAGGCGATCCAAAAAATTATGAAAATTAAAAACCCATTAAATTCCACCTTTTAAATCTAAATTTTCTCGGCCCACTCAAATTCAAAAGTCTAGATTTAGGTAAGAAAGGGAGGATAACCTATTCACCCTATCTTGCCCCAAAGTTATGTTATGTGCCTCCTGCGATGATACTTTCCTGCCTCTCACCCAAGTTCAACCATATTATCAGAAAAACGATAGCCATATTGAAAAACGAGCTGACCCACCCGTTAGGTTTTCCCTAAAATATTTTTTTTTTCAAAAGATGCTATCCTAAATACTGAACTTATGAAAAGATTTCCAAAATTTTGCCCATACAAGTGAAAAGATTTCCAAATTTATTATACATATAAGCAAACTAGTTTTGTGTCCGCTCGACGGGCATCGAGGTTCATTTGTCTGTACTTTTCATTTTATTATCCGTCATTTTTCCAATGGTATCGAATTCCTACTTTTCATATTTATTTATTATTGTTATCTATTATCCGTGTTCCATCTCATATGAGGGGGCAACATTTAATCCATGTTTTAATCATGATCAACAATAATATCAAACAACGTTGTAATTTCATCATCACTTGAAAAATAGTATTCATTACCATCTTATCTTTGTTTGACAAAAGAATTTCAACTTCATAAGTTGTACATGGTTTAACCTAACGTATGCCACCTTACGGTAAACCTATCGAGTTTTGGTATTTAGACCATAAACTAACGAGGTTTGGACAATGCACTATACCATAGTCTCTAATGGGTGAGCCCCAATCTCTAATTCTCTAATTTCCAGTAAACCCAAATCTAATTACCCAAATCACCGCCCATCAACAAAACACTAAATTGTAAATGAAATCCCTAATTACTTTAAGAAATTGAAACAATATGGAGGATCAGAGGCAAAGCTTGAATCGAAACCATCAAAAGGAGGTGGTGGAGAAGGCGAGAAATGAGCATTTTAGGGATGCGAAGTCGTGTTCACCAGGATCCTCCTATACCCATTCCCAGCACCAAAATCCTCTTAATCTTCGCATGCTTGCTGTTTTCATTTTTTCCCGCCGTCGGAAAATTCAAATTCTCCAGAATCCGGCGAGGTGAACCCAGAATCCGGCGACTTCAATTCTAAATTGGGGAAAACTAATTCAGTCATGCTCAAGCTGATTTCTTTGCTTCGACACCATCCTTGGGACTCCAGGAGTTGACCCCAAGCGGCTAATTGCGCCAAATTATCACCAATCTCCACAACCGATTCGGGCTTCTTTTGGTCGAAGCTCTGCTCATTTTGAACCCAAATCGCCAAATTTGGCATTTTCATCTCAAGGTTCCTAGTCTCGTTCTGATTGGTTTTACACGTTTCTGGGGTGGAGGCAATCATGTTGACGTGAGCTGATGGATTCGATTCATTCCCCAGTGCTCCACCCAATTCGTTCTCTCTCTTGCCTTGCCGCATCGGAGATGGAAGATATAGCAGTTTTTGACACGACCCGATCCTTTTTGAAAAGCAAACCACAACTCAAACCACAAACCGGTTACTCCGGAGCAACCCAATGTTTAAGATTTTCAAGTGAAATGCCCTAAACACTTGGGCGACCTCAATCCAGAGCAACAAAACAAAAAACACAATCCTTGAGTTTCCCAGTATACTCATTAAGACATGAAACTAAAGACAGATATATGGGAGGTCCCATCTCGTTACCTAGATCCAGTTGACATCTTCAGGTTTGCCGCGGCTGCTCTCCTCAAGTAACCGCCTCTTGATGGATGCGTCCTCTTCCCCTCTCTGCACCTGGTGAGTGAGAAGGGGTCAGTCTCGTCGTTACTTCCTAAGGTCTTTGCTCTAAGAAGCTCCCCACTAAACACATTATTAGAGTTTGCTTCCTAGCATGAAAGACGTTCTCGTTTTCTGCTCTTAAATAATCATTCTTATCAACTCATTTCAACATTAACTCCTAAGAGTGCTCGCCTTCTATCCTTAACTCAAACACAAACAACTAGGACCACCGTGTTACGTCTCGCCGTCCGGTGTCCTACCCTAGTATGCCAACCGCGTTACGTCTCGCCGTCCGGTTGCATACCCAAACTCGGCAATGACACTGCGTTACGTCTCGCCGTACAGTCCATGCCCGTCAACAACTGCGTTACGTCTCGCCGTCCAGTAGTGACCAACCGCCCGGGGGTTTCTCATACCATCAATCCATACAACATACATTCATACATACATAAGCACAACGCGTGCCTCCACCCTTATAGGCGGTGGGATGCCTCACACACATATCGCGCATACTAGAAAAAAATAACTAAATAATAACTTTTAACCAAAAGAGGAAACTAAAAGACGTACAACATAGATTTTACCCCCTTTACACTCACCTCAAAAAGATGACTCCTTAATTCCTTCCTCGAAGAAACCCCTCCTTAGCCGAATTATCTTGGGGAAACCTATTACTAAGAAACCATTTTCTTAGACGACCTTTCTTGATTTAAAACCCCTTTTAGATCACTAGAACATCCTCTCCTCAAACTCCAGTCCTTGAACCTCATTCCAAGGGCCCGTTAACCCCCATAAAAATTTTCTAGAATTATTCCATTCAAAAGCGACTATTTTCTTAATTATTTTTATCTTGGACGAATTTTTCACCTAACTTGCACCTTCTTATAATTTTGGAAAATAATTTTCCCACATTAATCATGAGCACCTATACCCTGGAAAATTATCAAACCCTTAATAACCCCTCGGAAAAAGTTTTACTTAATTAAAATAAATATTTGAATAATTTCCGAAAATAGAAATACATCTTCAAAAATGCCCAAATTAAATTAAATCATCTCCTAGACGTCGCTCAATTTATATAATTGTTAAATTCAGAAAACAACCTTCAGAGAGGCTCAAAACAATTTAAAACATCTAAAAATACGTTTCTGGAAATTTCGAGCAGCTTTAGTGACCACCCAAAATCTATCACTAAAAGCCTGTAACGGCTGTTGCTAAAAACCCAGAATTGCATCCTCATGAAAAATCCACAAATCGATCGATCTAACTCAAAGGGATCAAGTTTCCTTACCTCTAGAACGTGCCTAGGCCTAGGTTGGATGACCTGGGACGCTGATCTCCTCGTTGATCGAACCCTCAAACGTCACCGCTAATAAAAACGAGCTGCGGATTAGACTATCGATAAATCGAGTTTAAAAATCGCGAAGGGGTTCGTCATCCTTGCCTAGCGAAAGGGATGGGGTCGGGCACAGGTGACGGTGGGCTTCTCGATTTTTTTTTTCCTCGGACGCGCTAGGGAGAGTCTGGCGTTGAGGGGTTGCTCGCTGGGGAGAGGAGTTTTCCTTTTGGGGAAAATAATTTGGGGGATGGGGGGATTTTGGTTTATGCTGGGGGAGTGGGGAATGGTTGGTGGAGTGGCCGCTCGGCCCGAACAAAAAGTAAGTATATATATATATTTTTTTTTTTTTGCATTAAAAGGAGGCAAACCGCCAAGAATACAGAAGAGAGGTTACAGGCTAAGGAGAGGAGTGGGTTCGAGTCGCAATCCTGCGCTCGAACGTAATGCCCTGAGTATCGTCACGGAGAATACCGACAAGGTCGGGGGGCGGGCCAGCAAGCTCATGCATACCGTAGGGATAGACGAGACTGTGCTTCGAGAGCCAGTCCGCGACTCTATTCCCTTCGCGATATGTATGAGTTATACTGACCAGCCAATCCCGTCCAAGTTTCCTACGGATAACAGAGAGAAGGGTGGCAAAAGGGTGAAGAGGGTCCTCTCTATGCTCAATTAGCTGCAAAGCCAGCTGAGAATCAGTCATCACCTTCACCGTCCTAAAACCGAGATTCCAAGCCAGATCCAAACCATAGTTGATGCCCCAAACCTCCGCGAGCGCCGCCGTGGCCGTGCCGACGTTGGCCACGAACCCACCCAGCCACTGGCCAGTCGAGTCCCTAAGGACCCCCCCTGCCCCGGCCGGCCCGGGATTCCCATTCGAGGCACCATCAACATTAAGCATAACCCAACCTTCGGGGGGAGGATTCCAACCAATACTCGTCCACTGTCGCTCCGCCGGCCTATTCCTGTCATCCGGGATCAAAGCTGGCGCGTTCCAAGACTCATGCCAAAGCTTGGCCTTGGTGACTATGGAGTTCTCCAAAGACGGGGGAGTCAAAGCCGCGCTTCTTCCTCTGATGGCAGCGGTGCATCTGTTCTTCCATAGCAACCAAATAGCCGTGCTGAAAAACTCTGGCCAATTCATATTACTGATGGACTTTCTCCCATCCAAGAGGTTCATCCGCATCCACTCGGCCTGGTGAGCACTGAAAAACGCTTGCTGCTGCTGCAACGGAATTTGGCGAGACCAGAGAAAATGAGCAGGCGCACAGTCACGGAGGATATGGACAGTGTCTTCAAGCTGGCCCGGGCACATTCCGCAGAACGGGTCATCCGCAATCTTCCTGGTGTGTCTTAACTCATTAGTGACAAGTCTCCCTCGGAAAGCCAGCCAAACAAAGGCTCTGATCCTCTCTGGAACTTCAAGCCGCCAGATGATCTTCCAAAATCTTTCGTCTGGGTCCGGGGGGTGCTGGGTCAGCAGCTGAAAAGCCGACCTCGTGGAGAACCGGCCGTCCGCCGAGGCGGACCAGAACATCACATCGTCATCGAGAGAGAGTTTGTCAACAGCAATGCTCAGAATCTTCTGGTGAACGTCGGGAGGCAAAAGGTGAGCGAAAAGATCCGAGATCCATCTCCCTTCTACATCGACGAAGTCCGCGACCCGAGCCTCCTCCTGCTCGCTGGGGATGACTCCCGTAGCCACCTCGCGCAAGGGAACCTGCAAAATCCAAGGATCATTCCAGAATTTAGTGTGTCTACCGTTCTTGATATTCCATGCACACCCTTTTTTCAATAAAGGGGCAGCTTTGGAAAAACTGGACCAGGTGAAGGAACTTCCCTGAATAGGCCGTAATATGCTAAGCCCATGTCTTTGTCTCCCGTACTTAGCTTGCATAACTTGGGCCCACAGAGTATCTTTCTCATTCATAAGACGCCAACCACTTTTAGCTAACATAGCTAGATTGGCTTGTCTCGTCGATCTTATTCCCACTCCACCCTGACTCTTCGGAGTAGTCATCTTCTCCCAGGCCACCAAGTGCATCTTGCTCTTGTCAGCCTCATCCCCCCAAATGAAGTCCCTATTAATCTTATCGATGCTCTTGCAGACATTACTCGGGATCAGCTCCGTCTGCATACTGTACACCGGCAGGGACGCGGCTACAGACTTCGTCAGGGTGAGGCGAGCTGCAAAAGATAGCCTCTTAGCCTTCCACGGGGCCATCTTCTTCTGGATGCGAAGGATGAGGGACTGATATCGATCTCTGGTCACTCGCTCCTGAATCACCTGAACTCCAAGATACCTCCCGAGGGCCATCTTAAGAGGGATTCCAGCTTGTCTACTCATCCGGGACGCCTTCTGTCTGTTGACATTGGGAGAGACATACATGATCGACTTGTCAAAATTGACCTTTTGACCTGAACTGAAACAGAAATCCTCCAGACATTGCTTGATAATCCTGATCTGGCGCGAGTCCGCTTCTGCAAAAAGAAGAAGATCATCAGCAAAAAAGAGGTGAGTGAGTGAAGGACCATTAGCCGAAAGCTTAATGGCTTTCCACTGCCCATCACTCACTGCCTCATTAATCCTGTGAGAGAGGCGTTCCATGCACAAGACAAAGAGATAGGGCGAGAGAGGATCTCCCTGACGGACTCCCCGCGAAGGGATAATGGGTTGAGACAGCTCGCCGTTCCAGAGAATCCTCATCCTGTTTTGCTCGACACAAGTCATAATGCAGTTGATCCAGGAGCTGGGAAGACCAACTTCCTTCAGGGTATCTCGAAGGAAGTCCCATCTAAGCCTGTCGTAAGCTTTCTCCAGGTCAATCTTGAAGATCAGCCCCCCCTTTCTGCCTCTCCTCTTCTCCAGAGTGTGAAGAACTTCCTGCACCACAATAATGTTATCTGTAGTTTGCCTACCGGGAATGAAACTGCTCTGCCTGGGGGACACAAGTTTCTTCATGAGAGGTTTAAGCCTGCTGGTCATAGCCTTCGTGAGGGCCTTAAGGCTAACATTGTTGAGGGAGATCGGGCGAAGCTGGGTCACTCTCTGCGGGCTATCCACCTTTGGGATCAACACCAGAGTAGACTCTGAAACCGCCTCCGGGAGCAGACCTGTCGAAAAGAAAGAGATTGCCATGTCTGCCAGTTTCTGGCCAACCACTCTCCACATTTGTTGGTAGAAAACAGCATGGAAGCCGTCCGGACCAGGGGCCTGAAAGGGCTTCATCTCGAAGATAGCCTTATGAATGTCTGCAATGGTGAAAGGGCGCAAGACAGGCATCATCTCCGAAGGAGTAAGCCTCGGGAAGGAACCTTTCGGCAGCCTATCCTCATAGGGGATGTTCTCCTGCATGAAAAGGTTAGAGATCGATTCAAAAACCAAGAGAGCAAGGGAATTAGGATCAGTCACCCAGTTGTCATTAGCATCTTGGAGAGCTTCAATCTTATTCCGCCGCCTTCTAATGTTCACTTGCTGATGGAAATAGGCGGTGTTGCGCTCTCCAAATTTCACCCACTTGTCCCTCGATCTTTGGAACCAAAGGATCTCTTCTTGCTCGAGAATTTTGTCCAGCTCAGCCTCCAGCTTTGAGCGAAGCTTGACCAACCCGGGAGTAAAGAGAACCGCTAGCCTGACGTCAACTCCTCTGATACGGGCAAGGAGCCGATTCTTGTTCTTCTGGATAATCCCAAAAGAGTCGACATTCCAAGTTTGGAGCTTGCCCGCCAACTTACCCAAAGCATCAGGGAAAGGGGCTTGGGGATCCCAGGAATCGGAAACCACTTCCTGCAGATTGCTGTGCGTTAGCCAGGCCGCCTCAAAACGGAAGGGGCGACTGTTAGCTTGACTGGTAGGGTGCGCCGAGATAGAGGTCAGCAACGGTAGGTGATCGGAGTGGAGTCTCGGGAGATGAAGCACAGTAGTATTGGGGAAGACTTCATTCCACCTTAAGTTACACAGACTCCTGTCAATTCTACTGGCTTTGAAGGTGTGAAGTTGATCGCCCCTCGTCCAAGTAAATCTCGATCCGGAGAAGCCCAAATCAATCAACTCAGATTGGTTGATCCTATCATTAAAGATCCGGCATCTCCTCTGCGTGTCTGCCGCCGGGGGGCCTGACTTCTCTTCAGGTTTGCTAATGGCATTGAAGTCCCCTGTCACCAGCCACGGGATATCAACCTGCTTGCTTAGGGAGAGAAGGTTGTCCCAAAGTTGCTGCTGTCTGCTTGGCCGGGGAGAGGCGTAGACAGCGGTGAGAACCCAAGGCTGCTTACTGTTTTCTTCAATCCTGAGAGAGAGGTGCTGATTGCAGGCAGAGATCAGCTGAGTCGAGAAACGCGCCGCATCCCAGAACACCCAAATGCCTCCCATTCTTCCCTCGGCTTCAACCCGGATAGAATTGGGGTAGCCCAGCTTGTCGCACACCACATTAGCTGCTGTACCACTGACCTGAGGCTCGAGGAGGATAACAAACTCAGGCTTATATTTCTGCAAAACCAGTCTCAAAGAGCGAATGAAGGCCCGATTCCCTGCACCTCCAACATTCCAAGAGAAAACCTTTAAATCAGAGTTAATTGGCAAAGACATGGATAAAAAATAAAGAAAAAGGAGTAGAGAAGGAGGCGGAAAAGAAAACAAAGGCTCAAGAGTCGGGTTCCCCCTGAATGGGCGGCGACGAGGTCGACTTCGGATCTTCTGGGAAGTAAATCGAGCCCTCTTTTCCGGACGCGCTCGACGACATTTTTGCCGCGTTCGTCCAGGCGGTGATCTCCTGCATGGTCAAGGTGGCAATTTTCGCTCTGGATTTGGATTTCCGATCCTTCTTCGGCGTCCAGACTTGGAGGCTTTTCATCGGAGACACTTTGATAGGGGACTGCCGGCGGTCCTCTTTCCGAGCTTTAGATCCTTTTGTTCTGCTTTTGGTAGAAGGAGGGGCAGCAACCTGCTTGTCGTTCCTTCCTCCCGGGACGTTGACGAGGTCGACGATCTGCATATTTGTCCCATTCTTTCCTGTAATCGAAGTGACGGTGAGAGGTGGTAATTGAGAGTTCACTTTCCCAGAGGAGTCGTCGGTCATGGGGGTTGCTAAGCTGGATTGAAGTTGAGGGTGGACTTGGGCTTTGTTTTTCGTCATTTGGGAGGTGCTATTTTGAACTTGGGCCGAGGTGGAAGATTGGCCGAGTTCAGCAGAAGGTTTGGACCCCTTCTTGTCCTTCTTATCCGGGCCAGGGCCCAAGACCCCTTTGCCCTTGCTTATGTCCACTGATTTGGTGTTTTTTAGGTTCTCCGGGCCCATTCTCCCAGCTCCACCTTTCCTTTCTTGAGGTCCAGACCGTTGGGAGCTGTTCGAAATAGCCAGAGCTGCAACAGGGGAAACTATCTCTCCTTCTTTGGTAATTGTACCATCCCTACCATTTTTAGCAGGCCTCTCACCGTTGGGGATCTTAGATTCCGTCTCCGCCTTCCCTTTCTGAGAGGGATCCCTCAAATTCCTCCTATTTCTCCGCGTCACCAGCATCCACGGCCCGAATCCTGGGCTTGGTTCCTCCGCCGCTGCCTCCGTAATAAACGCCTGACTCTGCCCGTCGCTGACCGTTGAGACCATCGGCAACACCGCCGGCCGGAGCACAGGGCAAGACGCCGAAATATGCCCAATTTTGCCACATTCGAAACAGACCTCGGGAAGATTCTCATATTCCACCTTTTGCCACGCGTCATCCAGCCAGATACGAGGAACCAGGGGCTTGGATAGATCGACTTCCACCGCTATGCGAGCAAACTTTGCCCGTTGAAGGTTGAGAGTGTGGAAGTCCAGCTTGATTGTTCTCCCAATGAGATTCCCTAACATATTCAGAACCTCCTTGTGATAGAAGTGCACCTTTAGAGCTGGAAAAAGAACCCAGACTATCATGGTCCTCGGGAGAGGATCCGAAACCTTAAAATCAGGAGTCCATTGTTGGACCACTAAGTAATGGTCGAAAATGGTCCAGGGTCCATCTGTAAGGGCTCTGAAATAGTCTTGATCGTTACTGAGTTTGACCAGAAAACACTTATGATCGAGGTCTAGAACTTCCATATTACCAGTCGGTCTCCAGAGACCCCGGCGACGAGTGCAGAGCGTATTGAAACCGATTTTGATGCCCAGCAGCCTGACCACTATCGTTCGTTGCCAAGGAGCACAGATCTTATCTTTGAAGCTTGTTGATATGTTCAGGGCCGGCTCACCATTCCGCTGTCCTGGAATCAAATCATTCTCGCCCACCGGAGTCCACTGAGACCCCGACGCCTGTGAAGGAACTGCAGGTTTCCAGCCCGACACTGCCGCTGCGTAGGAGAATTTCGGTTGTGGGTTTGCTTCGATCGTTTCCTGACAGGCCTCTTTACTGGTATCTTGTATCCCTACCATGGAAGCTCCGATCTGGTTCTCTACTGCCGGCGGAGCGTCGGCCCTTTTGGAGTGATCAATCACCATGTCCGACGTTGTTGTCGACGAAATCATGTCCATATCCACGGAAAGAGGAACAGTAGAAGCCTTTGGGTCCGGCGGCCGGTCCGGCGGGTGCCGGGATGGCGCCGGAGAGATCGATCCATTGTTCAGAGTTGAGAGCATTTTTTCCCCAAGCAACATCCGATTAGGAATAGAACGTCTTCGGTGCACTTACTTCTTTGGGTGCATTCAGTGCACTCGTTTCATAACCGTCATTTTAAACATGCGATTTGTGTCAAAATGATGTCAATCATCACTTATGATGTGATGAACAATAACGCACATGAATTTGCACGAAAGCCCATTAAAGATTTACTTTAATTTGAAGGATTTAGAGTTTAGAGATTTATGATTATGGTTAGGGTTTAAAATTTGAGGTTTAGGGATAGAACGCAAAATTGGAGGTCTAGGGCTTAGGGTATCCGCCAATTAGCTGTTACCATATGTTATATCATCATATTACACTAATTCTACAAATTAAAATTCAAAATCTGACACCTTACGACTAGTTTTTGAGTTGGGTGCATTGAACGCACTCATTTTTGTGAGTGCACCGAAGTAGTCACCTATATATATATATATATATTATAATATAAGAATAATATAATAATAATAATTATTATTATTCTTAATCCGCGGTTGAAACTCTTAATACGTAACCGTTAATCCAACCATTCACGTATTGAGGTCGAACCTAAATCTACATTATCGGGGTGTTACAGTTTGGCCATGCTCGGTCGAGAAGGTATAGGCCTCCTCAAGGCAGTTAACATGAACCCCCATCGCACTAAGCCTGTCCTCTATCGTGTACCCCCAGATTCTTCACCCTCTCGAGCTCGCATTGAGGTCATTTGTTGCTGATCGGAGCGAACTTCCGACGACGACAACGAGTTGAGCACAATCCACTTCCCATTGTGCTTGAACCGGTAGCAATTTGTTTCGTCGTCGTGCAAGACTGCTCGGTCATACTGCCATGGCCTGCCAATCAAAAGATGTGCTGCTTGCATCGGCACAAAATCGAACAAGAGCTCATCCTTGTAGCCACCAATTTCGAATGCAACTCGGGTGCAGGCTATACGGTTCAGGATACTTAATTGTATCAAGATCCAGATTCTTGACGGCGTTGAGGCTAATTACATTTGTGCAGCTGCCCCCATCGACAACCACGGACAAGCATTTGCCGTTGACGAGACATCGTGTGTGAAACAGGTTAGTTCGTTGGTCATTGCTGGTCTCGCCCTCCGCCGTCAAAGCTCGTAAATTCATCCCAGAAAGAAAGGGTCCCGACTCAGCTTCCATCTCTTCATCAACTTCTTCTTATGTAGAGTCGTTAGTCACGACTAGACCTCTTGTTTCATCATCGCAGACATACTCACCATCTCGCAGGACCAACGTTTTAAGATTAGGACAGTGAATCGCTTTGTGGTCATGACTGTGGCACTTAAAACATTGAATCGACCCACTGGAGGGTCCAATTCGTTCGGCTTGTGTTGAATTCCTTGGAGTAGGCTTGGCGATGTCTGGCTTAATCACCTCAGCTGACGTCTCTGCTCCTGATTTTGAAAATCTTCTTCCCAGAGAAAGTTTCTGCTGCTTTTCAATTTTGATAGCCAAGTGTACTGCCTCTTCCAACTCAACGAATGACCTGAGTTCAATTTCGTGGCGAATTTCGCGGTTTAAGCCATGTAAAAAGTGCGAGATCGTAGCTTACCTGTCCTCACGAAGGTCTGCACAAAGCAAGAGTAATTTTAATTCTCGAAAATACTCTTCGACGCTCCTTGATCCTTGACGCCCTGTAATGAGTCATGGATCTCGCGTAGGTAATAACCCTGAACAAATCTCTCCCTCATCAAGCCTCGCAGCTCATCCCACGTCGCTACCGGTGCCTGAAGGTTCTGTCGTCGACAAATTTGAAGTTGCTCCAACCATTGAGCCGCATAGTCTGAAAATTCATAGGTGATCATGGCCATAAAATTCATCGTACCCTGAAACGTTGGAACAACCAATTTGATCCCTGGTGGAATCGCCGGCGGCTCTGCTTCTCGGTTATCATGCCGATCTCGATAAGGTCGGTCGTGTTGGGGTTCTGCAACGACAAGCCGCCTCTCCATGTCTTCAATTCTGTCCAATAAAGCCTGATCGCCAGCTTGATTGATGTCACCGTGAGCTTGCCTCCAACTTTGTTTGCTGGTGGCACGATTGCATCAAATCTTTGATCGATTTCACACCAAAATTGGCCTAATTGCGCCTGGAACTTAGCATCAATCTGGTCCAGGAACTCATTCATATTAAACTGCAGGGCTGCTATGGATGAATTTTGGTTTCGGGATTCGTTGTCACTCTCGACGCTTCCCTCTGTTTTCTTCTGTCGAAGAGTAGGGTCGTTTGAGACAGACCCCTTCGACCTCGTCCTCGGCGTCGTTGCTGCAACGCCGCCCTTCGTTCTGTCCACTGTGTAGAACCAGGCGATGATGCCACTTGATACGAGCACAGTTGTACTTGTTTGAGATCAAAGCGCGCAACTCAATTCTCCCTCAAGGAAGTTTGAATTCGAACAACTTAAAATGAAAGAAAACGGACCAAAGGTGCAATCTTTCGCGTGGAAGAAGGCTTGATTGGTTTGGGTGAAGCTCGGCCATGATTGATGTGGTTTTCAATTGATACGAAGCAAACTTGCTGCTGGAACTCAACCAACACACAAGAACTTGGTGACGAAGTCACAATTTCATTCGATCTTCTCTGCCCTTTACACGAGGCTTTCAAGCCCTTTAAATAAACTCTTATCTACTTTAATTAACCCTAAACAAACAAGGAAAGACGTTAGGCTCTGGTTGTGGAAGGAAGTCTTCTTGGTATGAGAAAGTTTCTTGATATCCCCATGGCATGGTTGTTCTTCATGGAAGGAAGATTGGTCATAGAACCCGAATCCTTGGCTTTCACCGTCTTGATTGCTCCATGTAGTCTCGGGGTAACCACACTCGGGTGTTAGTGTATACGTCCACATGTTGGTGAAGTCATAAGGATCCATGATTCAATAGATATAGACACAAAAACACTAAAAAGAATATCAAACAAACGTAAACCACCCTTCTGAGCGAAGAGTGGGACAAAAAAACACAATACAATATGTACAAAACTAAATGTGGAAAATAAAGTAAAAATAGCTAAAGTAACAAAAAGCCTTTTCTCGATAACTTAGAATTCCCCTGCAACGGTGCCAAATACTTGACGCAACTCTAACTACACACCCAATTGAAGGCCAAGTATAGCCAACGATCGGATGTAGTATAAGAGATGTAAAGTAATAAAATTATCGAACCCGGTCTCTAGATGTATCGTTACTTCAACTTCGGTTCGTTATCTAGCCAAACAAGAATAGTGATTAAGAAACTAACCTAACTAAGCTACTCTAACAAATTACAAGGTGGGAGCTCACTTAGGCATGAATCTCCTTAATTCCTTCATTTGGTCGATGTTGATTACTTCTACCCCACAGAATTAGAATCTAGATTGGACTCCATATTCCAGTTATCCAACCTTCTCAATTGCACTACCTGGAGAGGCTTACCATACAACCAGCCTACGCAATTGAGGTGTTCACAACCAACTCTCATAATTTGGCAAAAGCGAATTCAACATCACGTACCCGATCACAGTCATTCATAGACTCACAATAATGTTTTGGTAGTGCTCTATTCAACCTAGGGAGATATTCTCTCTTCTAACTCAAAAGCCTCAAATTGAGGAATGAGATCAAGGTCCCACAACTGCATGATAAATACTCAAATCAATAGGTAATAAAGAATCACAATCATAGGATTGTCACTAGTATCAACAACCAATCCAAAATCTAGAATTAGGGTTCATCAACCTAAGTGAAGAGTGCATGCTAACTCATAGAGAAGATAGAGATTACGATAAAATGTACAAAATATTAAATCTTCATGGCTAGGGGTGATATTCAAGCTTCAATGGTGATCCAAACCTCCAATCTCTCTCTCTCTCTCTCTCTCTCTCAACCAATTCTTTGGTGTTTTGGGTCGAAACATGTTGATGAAGAAATCAAGGACTCTGTAGTATCCAAATGTCAAACACCAGTAGACTTGTACCAGTGAAGAATGCAAGATAATATGCTCCCTAAAGCGGAAAATAGCAAGGCTAAGTACGATGAAGTTGAGATCAGTGCGTGAAACTCCAATAGTGCAACCTCATAAAGGAGATTATCCTCAACGACGTTTCTTTTTCATTCACCTAACTGAACTTATCATGAATCGCTGATACAAAAGTACTTGCTTTCCAAAGTTTTGGACATGTATGTCAAATGTATGTATAATCAATAGTATCTAACCAAGTTCTGTCAAGGCAAGAGTTTTGCTAGTATCCCATTCCCGAGCCCTGCTCTACTGTCTCCGAATCAATCAAAA